ATATATATATATATATATATATATATATATATATATATATATATATATATATATATATATATATATATATATATATATATATATATATATATATATATATATATATATATATATATATATATATATATATGAATATACTATTTCTAAAAGTAATAACCTTTAAATTAAAGTAATTAAAGCTAAGTATGTACCTTTTTTGAGTGCAGCATTTTCTTTAATTTTAAATCCTAAAATAAATTATGAAGAGCGGGTGCTATATAAATCTTTATCCACCGGTTGTCGCTCAATAAACAGGTTGTAAAACTAATTGCTGTTGCTAGTGTTGTTCCGGTTGTAGGAATAGGTGCTGGTTATAGAACTAAAAAGCCGTATACATAGAATTTGTGAGTTGCCACTTTACCCAAAAAGTTCTGCTGTAAAAGAGACTAATAATTACTTCAAAGATTCATATCCTCGTAATGCAGTCGAAGAACAAATAAGTGTTGTCGGGAAATCATTCACAGATTTTTTTAGATCAGTACAAGGCAACATTCGACAGCTTAAAATAAATTAAAAAACTGAAACTGGAATTGAACACTCTTTAAGGAAGCTTAGACTACATCCATTTATATTAATATTATATTATTTGATTAGGATTAGATATATAAATTAGATTTTTTATTTTAAATAAATAACTTTAGAAATTAAATATTTATTTATAAAAAAAAACACATGTTTCTCACAAAAAGTATTAAAGTATTTTAGCAAACTCTGCTATGATATAATTAGTCGTCAAATAATATAACTATATTATGTATCTTTTTTGTATATATAACCAGTCCACTTTAGAAGCAAATAATTTTCTTTTCTTTACGGACATCACCAGCTCAGGAGGAGTTTCCCATTAGCCACCAAGCCTGAATACAGCATACCTAGACTAACTGGCTTGAGTATCGGCTTGATTACCGTGGGGCTGGGCCTGGTGCCCAAGCTTCTGTCAGCTGTCCGTATACTCTCTACTCCACCTATGCTTACTGAGTGTTTTTATCCTGTTTAAAGTTGTTTTTCTTTACAGTAGATCTACAATATACAACATATTGTATGAGTTTTGAAAATGAAATAATATAATTATTAATATTGTGCATGGAACTGAAGAGCCGCATCCTGACGGCAAAAGAGCCGCATGCGGCTCGCGAGTCGCAGGTTGCCGACCCCTGATCTAGGCCAATCCAACCCGGTGGATAAATAGGTATCTTATGGATTTTGCATTGTATGTGTAACAATAAAAAAATATTGTCTGCGTTTTTTTTGAGGAAAATATGTACATAGTCTACTGCAAATCTGACGAGCCAAAATAAATGTTTTTAAAAATTGGTTGATGTTTTGTTCCTAGAGTTCTAAAAAATCCAGTTGGCAATACTTATTTAAGTAAAAATCTCAAACAACAACTTAGATTGCTTAGATCTATAAAAAAAAAAATCTTAGCCCTTTCCCCTCAAATCTTAATTTTATTAATATCAAATGTGACCTCCCTTTGTTGAATGGCTATGTCGTGTGAAGGAGAAAAAAAAAACCTGGAAATGTCAGAAGTAACATGACTAATGAGTTCTTGCCGGGACCTAACTAGCTCTCCCGACCAGGATGTCTCGCCAGGAACTTAATTAACGGACCGGCCAGACTCACTCGACGTGTGACACGGCTGCCAGATTTTTGAATGCTTCATTAAAACTTGATGCTATCTTTGGCTCCACGCGGATACTGCTGGCAGTCTTTTCATTTGATTAAAATTCAAAAGTTGTAAAGTATTGTTGTTTGAACTGCTGCTGTTGTTATTTTTTTAATGCTTTGAAGCCTACGTCTATGGGCGATAGTGATCTTACATCATTTATAGAAATGATAAAGTCATTATAAATATATATGAAGGGCTCAGTGGAAAAAGTACTTAAGTGTATTTTGAGAGTTTTGAGAAAAATGAGTGCAAAGTTTTTAAATTGCTATTGAAATACCAAAACAGCTGATGCAGAGTATTCAAATTAAATGACTTCGGTACTTTTTCCATGGCCCAAATTTACAGGGATGGTTAAGAGGACGTAGTCAAATAATATACTGGTCTTAACTCATTTTTGAAAAAATGTAACTTAAGTACTTTTTCCACTGAGCCCTTCATATATGTGTATATGTCTGTGTATAAATAAATAATTATATATATATATATATATATATATATATATATATATATATATATATATATATATATATATATATATATATATATATATGTGTGTGTGTGTGTATGTGTGTGTGTGTGTGTGTGTGTGTAAATCCATAAATAGGTCTATATATTAAACAACAAGCAAATCGGTGAAATAACCCACCACTTAGCTTTTATTGTAGACAAATTATACAGACTTCCACTATGTTTAGCAATGTGTGTTGAAAGTGCGTGTGGAGGAGGGAGGGGGGGGGGGTGGTTCACGTTATAAAAAATAACAGAATGGTAAAAAAAAAAGTCGGCTATTGATGTTAGTCTACCTCTCCACTAGTGTATATCTACCTCATCAACAACCTCTGATAATAATACTGCAGATTTATAAACGAACCCACCCAAATAACACCAGCCCCTCCTTCCCATCACTACATTCACTCAATGGTCGAAGTTCCACTTATACATCCTACTGTAAACCATCTAAAATTATTTGCCTTGACCATGGGCAGATAAGCAACAATGAAACAGGTAAATTAATGAGGAAAAAAAAGCGACACATTTTAAACAATTTCATTTGTTTTACATCTTTAAAATGTAATTTCATCCTTCTTTTTTGATCATCGTGTATTATTTTCTTTAAGCCTGACAGACACGCCACCATTGCAACCCTTCCTACTAGATTGTGATTTCGTTAAAAGAGCTACACGATTATAGCCCTAAGGTATCCTTATGGAAGCAGTCAGACATAGTTACAAGACTATAGATATGGGCCTTAAGGGGCGTCCATAAATGACGTCACACTCGTAGTGGGGAGGGGGGTACGTAATTTTGTGACGGTGTGTGACGAGGGGGAGGGGGGGGCTCAGATGGTGCGACGTCACACTTTTGCATTATTAAAAAAATGTTAGAAAACGAATTTTAGACGTTATTTCGCGTTTTAGAAAACTCTTTTAATAAATTGCAATAGGAATTGATTTAATACTCTATTTTGACAGAGTTCAAACAAGATTTTGGAAAAATATCGATGTTTTAAGAAAAATGCAACTGCAATTTTGAGGGGGGGGGGTCTTGGGCTGAGGTGTGACGTCATTTTAGGGGAGGGTCTGACTTTTTCGTGACGATGTGTGACGGAGGGAATGGGGGGGGGGGAAGGTAAAAATTGTCAAAAAAGCTTGACGTCATTTATGGTCATGGGTGACCCCTTATTAAAAGACATAGCTACAACATTTTAAACATCGGTGTTATTTAAACACACCTCTACAACATTCGTATTATCGGACTTCATTTAAACACACATCTACAACATTCCCAACATTGGCTATTTTAAAACACAAAGCTATAACATCGGCCGAGTTAAAACAAATAACTACAACACCCATGACATCGGCCTTATTAATGAAAATGGATAGAAAAAAACAGCCACACAAAAAACGGGTTTTCGTTTGTTCTAATTTTAGCCAATATACTCTCGCTACTATACTATACGTCTTATCCAAAACAACTCATCCCATTTTCTCTAATGACTTCTTGGGTTTAACCCCTAACCTTTTAAGTCTTTCGACACAAAAGATTTATCGAATTGTTTTCATCCCTCCGAACGAAGAGAGCCATATTCTAAATGATTCTCAGTCGACTATTTAAAGCCCGGCTGCTAGCGGCCTTTCGTTCACTGTAACCCTCCTGGGATCATTCATTCCCTCAAATAGAAGTCTATCTATTGATTTCTATGTCCTCGATGTAATGATTTAATTATTCCCACAACCAAACAGAATCTCTATACAACCACAGAGACGGGGGGGGGGGAGGTTTGGTTGTGGCTGGTAAAGTCAACAAATCCCGCAATCCTCCCCCCCCCCCTTTACGATGATAAGCGTTTAAAGTTTCAACAATGGCGTCATGGCGCGCAGAACATGATCAAACGTCGCTTAGCGTGACCACACTTTGGGGCTCGCTCAGCCCCATTTCGGTGTTTTGTTTCAAGATTCTCGCCTATAATAAAGCAGGCTGAGCACTACACTCTATGCATACCAGTGTTTCTTTCAAACATTTGACTCCGGAGGGAAAAAAGGGGGGGGGGGGGCGGACACATGTATTTTGTATATACATGATCTTTCTTTTGGGGAGAGGGTGTTTGCTGTAAATCATGGATGGGGGTGCGGGGGGGGGGGGGAGCGAATAGATGCACACTGAATAATACTCGTTTTTTTTTAAAATATAGATTTAATAATATACATAAACAATTTGTAAACGTATGACCTGTGTGATTATTTTGAAACTAAATACGTATAAGCGTAGTAAACATAACAGAATTTTTCTTTGCGATTTAAAAACAAGTTTAGATAAATTTGCACTTTCTACATTTAGCCTACTTCTCTTTTATCAAAGTAGTTTTTTTTTTCTATTACTTCTGATCATGCTTTTCCTTTTACCACTTGCCAAGTCTGCGAACAGAATCTTCAATGTAAAACCACGGCTGATTTCATTTAGCAGACTTCAAATCGGGTATTTGTTGACGATGGCGAAAATAGAATAAATACGGCTGACGGCTGACCTACATTGAAACATGATGTTTAGTATTTTATATATCAGTGTCCTATTTCAACTGGAATTCAAATTACCCGATGGTAAAAGGACACAATAGTTATAAACATACTGGACTAAAGTAAACTACTTCAAGCACTACACAAGTAATTTTCGCTTCAAATAGACTCAACGTTTTATTATTTTCAAAGGCTGGTAACTCTACCCCAAAAAAACCCAGAGTTAACAGATTTCAATAAACAACTCATGTAGAAAAATCCTTATTTTTCAACAGACTTGGAATAATGAGGGATAGAGGGAGTCACGTGACAGAGGTTACGGTGGACATGGCTAGATGAGGCGGTCAGCTGAGGGGAGGAAAATGCGATGGTTGGACGGCAGCGTACATGCCCTGGCGTGGACGGCCGTGCTGTTTCTACAGAGTAGGACGTCACTGGTTGTAGGGGACAAGAGTTATCCTCCTGAGTTGATGACGCACACCAAACGTTTTACTAAGTAAGTTTTTATCTTGGGTTTTCTTGATATGCTTTAGTTTTAATAATGGACTTCTGTGCAGAGGCGTAGCGAGGGAGGGGGGGGGGGGGGGCGGGAGGGGTGCGGACCGCACCGGGTGACACCATTTAAGGGTGTGACACCAAGGCAAAAAATAGCAAATTATATAGAGAAAAATGATAATTCCACTTAATTAAGTGATTAATTCGAGTGTTAAATAGTCTTTTAAGAGGTGGAAATAGAAAGTTTGAGGGGGGGGGGGGTGCAAATCGAAAATTGAAAGTTTGTCCCCGGGAAGGGTCGCTACGCCTTTGGGAGGGGGGGATAACACCATTAAGTGCCGCACCGGGTGACACCCGACCTCGCTGCGCCACTGCTTCTGAATATGTTATAGTTTTAATAATGGGCTTCTGTGTATGGTATAGTTTTAATGTTGTGCTTCTGTGTATGGTATAGTTTTAATGTTGGAATTCTGTGTATGGTATAGTTTTAATGTTGGAATTCTGTGTATGGTATAGTTTTAATGTTGGAATTCTGTGTATGGTATAGTTTTAATGCTGGAATTCTGTGTATGGTATAGTTTTAATGCTGGAATTCTGTGTATGGTATAGTTTTAATGTTGGGCTTCTGTAGTCCAGTTAAAATGTTGGTTTTTGTAATCGGTCTAGTTGATGATATACGTTTGCAATATTTTATATCTTTAGATGACGTAAGAAAATTGTTTATTCCAAAAACTCTAAAGTTTACCGAACAACCCAACACATTAACAGTTAATGATGTCTAAATAACATAAAAAGTTGGTGATCGTCCTCGTTTTTGTTCGTTATAAGTGGTTACATGATATAAGCCCACATTGTCTAAACAAGCCCACCTATTGATCACGACAAGCCCCTTACTGTGACGCTACGTTCCATGAGTGAGGTCCCGCTGTGTTTTATCTCTCTCCCTGTTAGAACTTGACAATTACGTTTGTGGTTTTACATTCGTCATCTTGTGTGTGTGTGTGTTTATGTGTGTCTGCGTAACTGTTCGACTATCTGCCAGCCTGTCATCTTTTTTGTGTGTTTGTGTGCGTGTGTGTTTCTGTGTGTGTGTGTGTGCGTGTGTGTTTGTGTGCGTGTGTGTGTGTTTGTGTGCGTGTGTGTGTGTTTGTGTGTGTGTATGTGTGTCTGTAACTGTTCGTCTGTCTGCCCGCCTGCCATCTTTTTTGTGTGTTTGTGTGCGTGTGTGTTTCTGTGTGTGTGTGTGCGCGTGTGCGTGTGTGTGTGTGTGTTTGTGTGCGTGTGTGTGTGTTTGTGTGTGTGTGTGTATGTGTGTCTGTAACTGTTTGTCTGCCTGCCAGCCTGCCAGCCTGCCATCTAACTCTCCGTTTTTGTACAAAGAGTTAGATAAACACGAGCTTTGTGTTGATATTTTATTGTTTCCCAAATTCTCTACAAACTTACCAGAGTTTCTTTCAGGCAGTTCAGGCATCTTTTCTGGGGAAGGGGAGGGTGGCACCTGAAATTTTAGTCCATCCCGAGATATCAAGCACCCCTTAAACACCCCCCCCCCCCCACCACACTGGGGGAAAAATGTCTGAAACAGACTTACCACTACAAACAATGTTTTATATCAACATTTCAATTCAAAGTTAAAAAGAACACTCGTGTTTTTCCAAACTTAATATGAATTCTAACCTTACATGCTCAATTATTGAATAGATTCAAATTTTTTCGATTACATGTCAATTAGATACAACAGAGAAAAAAATTATTTGTAAAAAAAAAAAACATTTTAAAAAATCTAGAGAGCCGAAAAAAAAACAGGCCAAAATAAGCCCAATTTTCATCATTATCTAGAATTCTGACGGCCTAATGGAAGGAAAAGATGATTTTAAAAAACCTTTCGGTTATTTGAAAATAATTTTGCCCCCTTTCATCATTTAAGATACAAGCTGTAAAACAGAATGTGGATAAGATTAAAAGATTTAAAACACAAACATTTCATCCTGGTATTATTAAAAAGAAAGTAGCTTTAAAGAAAATAAAGCCAATACATTAAATACCTTGATGCATTATTGAATGTGAGTTTCCGCTTTCATCTTCGTAAACTAAGACACACAGGTCTTGTTGCTGGGTGACATCACACACATACAATATGTTGCTGTTACTGACAGACAACAGATACATACGATAAGTTGCTGTTACTGAGAGATGACAGATAACACACACATACAATATGTAGCCGTTATTGGCAGACAACAGACACATACAATAAGTTGCTGTTACTGGCAGACCTCACACACATACAATCAGGCGTGGCTGAACTTCTTGCCTGACTCAACACTTCACGTAATTTTAAACGTCACGTGTCTATCACGTGCCGATGTAACAAGACATCTGTCTAGCACACCCGAGTTGTCTGCCATAAAACGTTGTTAGCTCTCTCTTCAAGCTCTTTGTTTACAATGTTTGTTCACTACATACGTGCAATATATATATATATATATATGTATATATATATATATATATATATATATATATATATATATATATATATATATATATCTATATATATATTTACACACACACACACATATATATATATATATATATATATATATATATATATATATATATATATATATATATATATATATATATGTATGTATGGCCTATGTACGTGAATAAGGCTTCGAAAATAAACCTAGTCCTAGATGCGCAATTTGAGGCTACAATGGTTGGGTCATCTGGCCATGTAATTAGGTTATCTATTTTAAGGTATTGAAAGATCAATTTCCATTGGTGAAACAGAGCACGTGATGTGACACGACGTGAGCCCGCGTGAGACAAAAAGATGTAAAGGATTCCTAATGTTTGATGGGCATGTTATACATGTGCTACGGTACGGTGTGGTCTAGTGGTAGAGCGCTAGACTTGTATCACGAAAAACTCGAGTTCGAATCCGGGTTCATGTTAGAAGAACGTCCATGAGTCCACCCAGCTTTGATGGGTACCTAGCTCATGTTAGGGAAAATAAAAATGGCAAAGCATATTGCTGACCATACTCTCCCTTCTTATGCCGAGGTCACAGAAACAGGTGAACTCTACTTCACTTAGCCCATGGACCGTCAGGTTCGATAAGGGAACTAAACTTGTGATACATCAAATGTTGATGTAGTTGCATCCTTGTTAGGCTGGACGAGGAGTTCTCTTCACTCTACCGGTGTTGGTATTTACACTTGCTAAAATATTCATTCTAATTATCTCAAGTACTAGTGGTTTTAAAACCATTGCACTATTTGGATGAATGTGATATAGGATGTGATGTTAATTTTGTCAATACTTCGTTGTTTTTTGTACAACAAGAATAGAGAGAAGGACAAACAAAACTTTGGTTTTGTATATACCAAGACAGTTTTTACACTCAGTTCATCTGCCCCAATGGATAGCAAGGTCTAAAGATGAAGCTTTATCTATTAATGTACAGTAAACAGTAAGCCTACTTTATCAAGCTCTGTTTTAATTCACACTAAACAGTAAAACCACTTTATCAAGCTCTGTTTTTAAATAAGAAAATGTGGTACAACTTTTAAAAAATATTAATTTGAAGTGTATCAGTTAACTGACGTTATTTCTGTATTTTCTATGGTTTTTTTCGTGATATTTTGAGAAGTAAACAATAGTTTGCGAAAACAAATACTGAGGAAGGGAAAAGCTAAGAATTTATTTTTTGCGAGATTATCTCTAACGCACCCATTCCCTTCCACCTCTAAAACAAAACAAAAGAGTAATCTGGTCGCCAAAATAGCATCCACCTTAATTCTCTCCCTTTCCCCAAGTCTGTCATAGACCCTTGATCTATCTTTCTCTCTCCCCCCCCCCCCCCCATCCCCCTCCTCCCATAGACATTCTCTCACAGATTACACCAAAACAACAAAAATACAATTAAACCACTGGCATTATCTGAGCACAATCAACATTCAAACATGTCCAAACAAAACAACCCAACCCAGATCATGTGACAACAACAGGCTCCATAATTAATGTGTTTACACACCCATCACACCCCCCTCTCTCCGCACACATTCCCCCCCCCCCACAGTTGATTATTTCACTACAACAGTTTACAAGTAGACCCAGTCATTAACGTAATGAAGAAACAAAAAAACTCCCATTTTTTTCCCGTATTCCCGCAATGCCGCGGACAACTGTAGGAATCATTTCTCAACACACACACACACACACACACCGGCAGACAGTTGACAACCCCTCCACGATCACACCCCCACCCCCACCCCCCCCCCCCCCCCCCCCCCACTTTATACAATACACGGGAGTGGACAGACCGGACCCATCAAACGTTGAAAGCGCCGGTCTGGTCGTGGTTGCGTCATTGGCGTTCTGTTAATCCGTGGATTAAGACGACGGGGAGAAACAAAAACACGGATTAAAATTTTTGTTTTTAATTCAATCTCAGCTCCGTGTTTGGATGAACCGAACCAGACAAACAAAAAAATTGATAGTTGATTTTGTTGTCGGAATTTTGTTTGGTGTTTTATTATTTTGGTTCTGCTCGAAGTAAACAAAAGAATAATTATTTCAGTAGGATTCCTTTCACCAAACGCTCGTGTTAAAGTTTATTGTAAAGCCGTGTTTAAGTTTTAAAATGTGAGCTTTTCAACCTTGAGATGGTATTTCATGATGTGGCGTTTACAACTTTGTGCAATCTGAACAAGTGTTGATTGTACTTAATTCACAACCCTTCGGGATTTAGTGATGATGTAATTTCAAACAGTCGGTTGGCTTTGTGTGAGAGAAAATTCTCCATGAGGCAAACAGAGGTGCTAGAGTAAGTCGTTCGATTTTCTTTTTTCTTTTGTGTCACTGTAGAATTCATATCTTCATCCTTCTATTAATTATACAAGTTATTAGAATTGAGATAAAAACTAACTAACCTGGGCACACTATTATTATTTTAAATGTTGTCTACTTTTTATTTTTAGATATGTAATGTTTTTA